GTCTTTAGTGACCAGGATTAACCATGGGCATTTTGAAGGAAGAAGAGACCCCACATACTTCAGAGATCTATTGAGGATTTTGATTTTTAATCATAAAGATGAGGACAATTTGGTTAACACAATGAGTTTTTTTCTTTCTGTGATCTTAAAAGATCCAAATGAAATCTTCATCTTTGATCTTTAGTGCTAGCAGCGTATCAAGGTATTTAAATAAGCAGATCAAAGTAGGAGAGCTGCACAGAAATAAATGTCTGCAGAGAACTATGTTGACATAAAGGGCCAAAATTTATTCGCAAGGATGTGAGAGACTGCTAGAATAGAGCCAAAATGTTTGACAAGCTAAAGACTGCCAGGACATTCTCATCTGTTGACCACAACTGCATTATACTCTTTGGTCTTGCGTTCTTCAGTGCAAAATTATGTCAACTGAAGGCAACAATCTATGGAGTATACAAGGCTTCACAGCTCATCTCTTTGGAAATCCCAGATCACATCTAATCTGATTTATCCTATATTACCAAACACATGTTGTGTGAGACTATCCTTGTGGGGACTTTTCATTTAATGCTATTCATATTGTATTCATTTCTATGGCCTAACCCTGAACCTTACCCTAACCATTGCCAACACATACCTAACTCTTCACCAGACCTAAGCAGATCACTCTTTAGGCCTTAACCTAACCCCACCTCGTGAAGAGAACTTCTCCTCATGGGGACCCGTCCTTGGTCCCTACAAGTACCTAAAAGTCCTCAAAATGTGGCATAAATCTTGGAAAATGTCCTCACCAGGTAACACATACATGGCCACCTCCTCAGACATATGCAAAAAACATGACCACAACAAACTCACCCCTCCGACTATCAAAAACATCATCCAACTATTTCATAGACTGCTCTGGCAAGTTCTATAAAATGGACTATGTAAATAGTAAATATGACATTTTTTTTTACACTTTTTCTTCTAAGGTGTTTTATATCTTTCAAAAGTGATTTTAATTTTTATCTTACAGATAAATCTATCCTCTGAATGTGCTTTCCTTCCTGTTAAAGTGAATTTTAGGGATTCTCATTATTTCTTTGTTTTGTATTTCTGCCTGTCCTGTGATAGACTAGGTGACCTTCCGGGGTGTAGCCTGCCTCTCACCCATAGAAAGGTAGAGATAGGCACCAGCAACCCCCGCGACCCCGCTTGGGATAAGCGTGACAGAAAATGGATGGATGGATGGATGGACGGACGGACGGACGGATGGATGGATGGATTTCTGTCTGTGTATTATGCCTACAGTCCAAGCTGTGAGTCTCAAAGATGTTTCATTATACAGTAAGCTAATGATGAATTCTTGATGTATAATTGTTTGGCATCTTCCCTGTGATAGACTCATGCCTCATCCAGGATTAAGCAAGATTACTGACTCATTTACTGCTTGAATATTTTCCAACCTACTTGTGATGAAGTAATAGATGGATAAATTGGCAGCATCTATATAGACTGTATTTTGCATCTTCTGTTCTTATAGGTGAACCTTGAGTCATTATTGCAACATGCTTGACTAACCTCTCTTTTTACTATTTTATACTCTTTCTTTACACTCAGCAAAAAAATGTTAATTTGCTGGGAAGTAACTAATTCCCAAATTTCTTCTGAGAATAACTAAAGGTATTTTGAGACCCAGTTTTTCAACCATGGCCAGAGTTAAACCACATTGATCTGGTAGCCAGCACATCCCTATAGGTTGTATACAACAGACAGGCCTTGAATGATTCTTCAACATTGTGATGCCTTTTTGATAATGACATGTTATAGACATTTCTTTTTTTTATTTTTTTACCAAAGCTTTTTTAATTTAAGATTTTCCCTTTCCATCTTTGATTTAAGTCTGCAATCATCATGACTGATGTTAATCCTTCAAGTGTGAGGGCTAATCTACTTTCAGTGTGCAGGCATAAGACTAGAATTTTTATTTTTTATTTTAGATTTTTGTTAAATGTTTTTGCTTGATGGGTTGCACTATGTTGTATGTGTCCAATCTGGTTTCATGCGGATGGAATAAAGGAAAAACAAAAAGCCTAATAAAGAATAATATACCAAAACTTAACTTGTCCATAATCTTCACCTGCTGGCTGAATGTCATGCTTTTTTTTTCTCTACATGATCCAAATCAGACACCTTAATAAACCAACATAATGCTTGATCACAAGCTTGGAGGCCTGCTGGTTCTGCCACTGCGTCTGCCTCCATATGAGGTCTCTCTACTTATCTGACATGCTCAACACCAACTGTGGGTTGGGGGGGTGAGAGGCTGTGTTTTTTCTGGCAGGTAAAGAAATTGGGCTATAAATGTGGAGGCCAGGAAACTATTGCAGAATAAATGATGATTGGGAACAAGTAATTAATGGCTATTTATAGTAAAGCAATAACAGAAATACAAAGTGGGAGAGAAATTAATTAAACGAAGATCTAGAAGAAAAACAAATAGGAATTGAAGGAAAAATAATCATTACTTTTAAGATGGAAAAAGTCGGGTAAAACGAGATAAAAAAAAAGATAAACAAATTGTGGAAAATTTAAAAGAGATAAATGAGACACTATAATGGTAGTCACAAATAATGAATGAGGCACAGGAAAAGAAAACCAAAGTGCATTGATGCTTCATCAGCATCATCAACAAAAATAAAGAACCAGGCTGAAACCTAAGCCCTGAGACCATTTTTAAACTCCTATTATTTTACATTTTAAGCAATGCAGAAAGTACAAACATAAAAAAAAAATTGCAATAACCTGGTTGTGGAAGTGCACACTCTACACTGTAGGCAAAAATCCCATAAAGATAACAACATTCTCCTCCGCAAAAGAAGGTCTTACTTTAGCAGATCATCGTCAGATATAACAGTCACAAATTTCCTTTTTTATCTCATCCAAAGAGAGAATAAATGCACTCAGCTTTTCCTTTGACAGAAAACTAATCTGAAGGTATGATCTGATTGAACTGTCTCTGTGAAGTGCTTTGAGACCAGATGTGTAGTGAAATGGTGCTATATAGATAAATAGAATTTGAAATACATGGAATTGAATAGAGATATCATACAGCTGATAAAGCCATTAATAATGGTTAAACATAATTTGTTGCGGGCCTACAGCTACAACCTTTAACCTTAAAGTATAAGTGTTATGCTGTTATACTGTAAGATGTCATATTGTGTGGCATGCGAGATAAACCAATCTGTCACAATCTTGGCACTGATGACTGGCTTAATTGTTACCTCCATTCACCTGCCTAGCTCCGCCTAGTTTGTAATTACTGATCATCTCATCCACCTGCTCCTGCCTTTATTTAGGATCCTTGCCCCTAGTCATCAGAGCCAGATTATTTGAGCCTTTGGTGAGAGTTCTCTAGTGTACCCTGTGTGTTGCTTTGATTGCCTGATTCTGACTAGTTCTGCCTTTGGACCTCTGAGCCTGCTTGTTCCTGTTCTGATCTGTTTGCCTGACCTGTCTTCAGACTCCTGCCCGATTCTGCCAGCTTTCAACCTTGGATCTGTTTCCTGACCCCAACCAGGATTTCCCTTCGGTGCCTCTTCAGATCTCTGATCTTCTGGGCTGGACTTCTGTTTACCTCATTGAAATTTGGCTTCCCCCTTTAGAAAACTCTTGCTTTCCCTCATCTGTTTGCTTCTGCTCTTCAACCAGCCCTTCTTGGCTTCTGCTCCTTGAACTCTCTATGCAGCATCCACTGTGTGCTGTGGGAAATCATCCTGCTGGATTCCACTCCCTCTTCTGGGCTGGGACTGAACTTAATACCAGGTTAATGAGTCACACACTTGTAATGGTCCTCCAACAGATTTATGTGGCAACTAACCTGACTTTTCCCCTCTACAGAGATTCTGGCCTTTTTCGTCCTTACAACTGAGTCATAGATTTGACATGTTGTCAATAAATGCTTTTGTAAATTACACCAGTCTGCCTGCCTGAAATTCTCGGTCCACAGTTCTGAGTTCTGACACAATCATATTTAGAGGAGTACCAGTGGCCTTACTTTTAATAGAATCAGTGTTATCTATAAAAATTCCCATAAAACCATTACGGCTAATAGCAGGGGAAATGGACAGTTCAACAGAGCCATGGCTCTGGGTGAGTTTGGCAACTGTATTAAAAAGAAATTTAGGATTTCTCTTGTTCTGTTCTATTAAAGTGGAGCAATATGCCACTCCTGCTCAAAAAAGGGTCATTTTATACACCAGTAAACTGTTTTTACAGATTATAGGTAGGATTACCGTAGGCATGTAGAGCACCATTTTCTCTCCAGCTTCCTACCATTTTTATTCAAAGTGCCCAGCTCCACATCAAATCAGGGAGCCAGCTTTCAATTTTTCAAGTTTTTGTTTTTCAAAGGAGAGACTTCACAGGACTCACATCAGTGAGAATTGCCAGAATTTATGTTGTGTTTTGTTTTGGGACTTGTCAGGTTGCAGGGCCCAGACCAGCCACAATTCTAAGTGTTTTTTTTGTTGTTGTTGCAGACATTCACATTGGCACTCTGTCATACTCTGAAGAAATTGCAGTGGAAGAAAGTTCCATCAAACCATTCTACTTCCAAATCTGTGCTTCACAGCTGCTTCAGTCTCATTTTAAGGCATCAGAGTGTACTACACTTATGGTGTGTTCACCCTTATAATAGTTAAAATAACACTTAAACACATATCTGATGATTACTTGCTATATCAAACCTCCTTTAAGATAAGTAATAAAGTTCTAATGAAGTGCATCTTATCTGATAGGCCTGTGTGTCAAGTCACTTTAGGTGAGAAAATATTTCATATTATTTCTCCCCTTTTTATGTTTCCTTCTGGTTCTGTCGCTTCTTTATACCACTTGAAATGCTCAATTTTGTTAAAATATCCAGAAAACCTTTAAATTATCCTATTAAAATATATAACAAAACTAAGGAAAGGATTGAAATAAATTAGAACTACATTTCCCAGAATGCACCTAGCGAGGTAAGAGGTTACACGGAGATGAGCTAGGCTATCAACCAGCCTGTTCTCACAGATTAAACCGGACCCTTGCCCTCTTTATTGAGCTGTATTTGTTATCTCGTGGACGCGGCTGACAGCGGCTCTATCCGCCACGTCACAGTTAATGAGCGACAGCCGCGCAGCTGCTGAGCGGAACAAACAGCGGACGGCTGAGCAAAGCAACCAGCGCGCCCCGCTCGACTGTTGTGGAGGTCTGAACAACGTGGATTATTCTAAGGTAAAATAGCACTAACAATCATGTCGGACTCGAACAGCAATGCAATAACAGCCTATCTGGAAGGCAGGCTGAGATACAGCTCAGCGCTGAAAGTTTTAACCTGCGGCGCGACTTCAGTCTGCCGGAAGCCGGCTGCTGGGAGCCCCTCTCCAAAATAAAAGCATGATTTTTAACACGTTGTACGACTGTCACACAATCATTTAAACTATCATGATTGTTGATGATTATTATGCTACAGCTCTTCAGATTATTGTTATACAACAGTGAAAAGAAACACTTAAAACCATTACATTTTGCTTGTAGTACCTGGAAAACTGATAAAATACATGTTTTTTGTAACATTAAAAATGTTATGCTTTTACCTGGATTCCTTATAACGTTTTGATATTAAAAGATTCCTGATGGCTTGTAATAAAATTAGATTTTAGTTTAATTTAGGACCGACTGAAAATATTCACTACAGCTCAGTATAACCAACCCTTACTAAAACTAGGTATAGTTCAATTTTATTTTCCAAGTGTACTCAAATGTGCAAAAAGTATATATTCCAAGTTTATCAAGTTTATTGAAGTGAACATTCTAAAAATGTGTGTATATATATATATATATATATATATATATATATATATATATATATATATATATATAAAAAGTAGTACTTGCTAGGACAAAATTCCCACAAGAAAGAAAGAAAATTCTAGAAAAGAAACAGCTTGTAGAAGTCTTAGCATCAATGCACTTATACTTTTTAATATCAGAATACTGTACTATACTATTCTTACATATATACAATAAAATTTATAAAAACAGTAGGGACAATATGACAAATATCATTCATAGTTCTAATTACTGATACTACTTCTACCTATAATGATGATGTTAATAAAAGTAATTGTGTTTTTTAATGACCAACATGCATAAATGAATGTGATTCAAACCTCCAATCTTTATTTGTTTCTTTATTGTTTCCTAAACTTTAAGCTTGGAGTTCTCAACTTTGGCCTTGCTTAGTAAAGTACTAAATTTATCAAAGATAAAGCACCATTTCTACCAGCATAACTGATTTATTAGTTGTTTATTACCCTTCCGTGAGAATGTATATATATTTTTAAGATTGATTGAATGGAAAAAAAAATTTGTGGCCAGCAGAATATTTCAGTTGCCTTCTATCAGACAGGGGAAAGCATTTGAATTCCCTGTGGTATATTTTACTGTATTGCCTTTTTACAATTTGTATGGCATTAGGCCCTAATTTTATTGAGAATCCATGCAGAACCACAGAAGGAACAGCGATTCAGTTAAAGCAAAAATCTTGGTGGTTTTTTAACTTATCAATATGATTTTATTTTTTAAATCAAATTGTCACTTTAAGCTTTTTAAGATGTCTTATTAATGAGGCCTTTCTAATAAAAAAAAGCAAAGCAGTATATAGATAGGATGTCTCAAAATATTAAAACTTCATTCTTCCAGTGAAGAACTTATAAGCCTGTCTGTTATATAAACTAACTCTTCTTCATGAAGTGACAAAAATAAAACATTCTAGAAAAAGTCTAAACAAATAAAAAATGTAAACAAATAACCAAAAACTTTAAATCTACATTAAACTACTGGCTCCTTTATTAGTTATTCAATAAATAATTACGCTAAGGCTTTTCTATCTGTGTTATTGTAGAAAATAAGTAAGACTTTCATGATTATTTTATTTGTGTTTGTTTTTTTTTGCCTTGTTTTACAGATGGACTTGATGCTGATAAAGGAATTCATAAAACTCATTAACTTTCATGATCCAGGCTTTTGCATTGCAGTGATTGCCATTGTGTTCAACCCTCTCTTCTGGAATGTGGTAAGAATGTACTATCAGTATTAAAGCTTTATAAAGTTTTAATGCACTTACCACTTTACAGTGAGTACAAGCTGTTAATGTAAAATTAGGGGTAAAATCAACCACATAAAGTGTTTCAGGGTTAAGCCAGGAAATCCAACACCAACTGTCCAATCAATGCAGCTGTAGAATAAGTGTTAAAGTAATATTTTTTATGAACATACATGTAAAATATTTGGAATGAGTCTTAATTTAGGTCGACTTTATTTTGATACCTTTAACTTAATCGAAACATCATGCCTTCAGAAGTCAGATAACAGATGCTTCCAAATTTCATATCAATGTGAAATCCAAAGCTGTGTTAAGTCATGAGAAATATCTTAGGCTTTAATAATTAATCGATTATCTGAAAATCTGTTAACCTAAACTAGCAGTTTAGCCGATAGGAATACATTTAGGGAAGCAGAATGAAGGATTATCTAAACTTAGACTTAGACTAAACTTTTTATCCCTTGGGATTATTCCTTCAGGGAAATTCTAGTTCCAGTAGCATTTATAGAGTACAAAGAGTTAAAGCAAGATGCCATTAAATATAAAAATACAACAGACAATATAAAAAGAGTGTATATAGTACAAAAAAGCATAAAAGAATATAAAAACGTTTTAATGTCCTGGAATATTTTACCCTTACGTATAATAATATCTGCATAGTAGAGAGCAGAGGGAAGACTATACAATAGTTGACTTGGGTTATTGCACTTGTACTGCAGAGATGTGTTGACCTTATGAAATAAGTTTAAAAAAAAAACACACACATCTACACAGTAGTTGGCATGTGTTATGAGAGGTTAGAGTATTGCACATTAGTGACAATAAGTAATGTTTTGCATATGATGTCAAAGGAGAGGGGTGCTGACCCTTGTCCCTCTTTCTATCTCCTCCTCCTTCCTCCAAGTGAGGAGTTGTATAGCTTGATGGGATAGCCTGAGCTATCTCTATAGTTATGCTGCTATAGGCTTAGACTTCTGGAGGACATAGGTACCAATTTTTCATCACTCTGCTTCATTCTATATCTATTCTCTCACTCTGCAGAATCTGTTAGTTCAATCTCTAACCTTCTGCTCTCTCTGCCTTTTCTCATAGTAGCTTCACCTCGTCTGTTCCTGTTTGGCTGTGACGCCATCCTGAAGAGAAATATCAGCTGTGCTGCTTCCATCAACACCCTTGTTTATAGATGCTGGAGATCTGCCTGTTTTTCAGTGTAGTCCTGTTTCTCTGACCGTGACTGACTGGATGTGCTCTCTTCATCCTCTGACATGGGAGCTGGCTCAGAGCTCGTCTGCCTGGCTGTGTGTTTCCTGGATGGGGCTGCCTTTTACAGCAAGCATGCTGAGACAGTGGAGAGGAAAAACTCCCTTTTAACAGGAAGAAACCTCCACCAGAACCAGGCTCAGTGTGAGCGGCCATCTGCTGAGGCCGACTGGGGTTCAAGGAGACAGAAGCAGAGATACTAAAGGCAACTGTCCACCTGCTCCACTAACCCCGTCCAGGAAACACAGCCAAGCAGACGAGTTCTGAACCAGCTCCCATGTCAGTGAATGAAGAGAGCACGTCCAATTAGTCAGAGTCAGAGAAACAGGACTACACTGAACAACAGGCCAACATCTATTAACAAAGGTGTTGATGGCAGCAGCACAGCTGCTATTTCTCTCCAGGATGGTGTCAAAAAGGAACAGACCAGATAAAGCTACTATGAGAAAAAGCAGAGGGAGTAGAACATTAGAGATTGAAATAACAAATTCTGCAGAGTGGGAGAATAGATAGAATGAGCAGCAGTTGTGTTTGGTTAGCAGTTGTTCTAACCTTGTACATCCCCAATTAGTGTCTTAGTCTCTTTCTCTCTCGTTTTTAAGTCCTGAAATGACCTTAATTGAAGAAAATGCATGCTGCAGAGCTTTAGGTGTTATTGTGGTTCCTTATTTAACC